CAAAATATATTTTTTATATTCAATCAAAGTATTTCTATTAAGTGTTTGTCTTCTGCGTAATTGTGCCATTCTTGTGTGTCGTGTCGAGAGGGCCAGTGAGATTTTGCTGCTTTATGTTTATATATTTTGGATTCTGAAGGGGGGAAGGAGGAAGTCGGTATAGAAAAAAGACATTTTTGTATAAGGCGTCGGCTTCTTTGAGGTGAAAAGAGCGACGAAGGGAAAAAACGTTGGTAATGGTTTCGCCAGATTATCCTTTCAGGATTATATAGAAAGGGATAAATACGAAAACGAAAGTTAAATTGTTGGACAATTAGACTATGTGAAAAATATTTGATGTGTGGAATGTAATGTAATGATATATGTATGTTTGTTATTGGTGTGGGATCTTTAATTTTGGAAAAAAAATGTTTGGATTGTTTTATAATTTTTATAATCCCACACCAATAACAAATAAATCTTACGTCGGTCTTACATCCCAATTTCTGGACAAGAGAGTAAAACAACGTATCTATGATTGTTATTCAGATATCGTGAGATGCGGTCGGGTGTGATGTAGGTTTCAGAAAAACATTTTCTTTATCGTGCCAACGTTTCGATCTTTATTGAGANGTATATAAAAGACAATTTTGTGTAAGGCGTCGGCTTCTTTGAAGTGAAAAAAGCTTGAAAAATGTTTGTAAATCCCAGGCCCTGAGGATGATCTCAATAAAGATCGAAACGTTGGCACGATAAAGAAAATGTTTTTCACACCTCACACCAGACCGCATCTCACGATTTCTGAATAATTATCGATTAACGGTCACTAATCACCACACACGTTTTTTTGAAACCTACATCACTGCCGTCTGGATCTCCCGACCTCCAAATAATCATTCTCACGATTTCTGAATAGTCATTAGTATGAATAGTATATTGTTTTCATGTTACTAACGATATTTACTATTGTATTGTTAAAATTAATATTTATGAAAAACTGCATTCCAAACAAAACAATTAATATTGGCTTCAATGAAGGGGAAACAGCTCAAGGGTTTTGAAGAAGGCAGATGATTATAAAGAATATAAATGACTTTTATACCGTCCTACTTCAAAATGTATAAGTATAATGTGAATGAAGGGGAAAAATGTCCAATTTTTGATGAAAGTGTGGTATACAATACATTATGAATAATGGAATGCACTTTGAAAATTCGAAAGATCCGTAACTACCAGCTTTAGAGGATATCTTTCTTTTTTTTAATAAAAGTCTAACTTTATTTTAATTTGATTCTGAAGTAATCAGTTTTTCAAGCATTAAAGTTCTGTCATCAATTAAAAATAAATCTAATGAATTTTTATGAAAGCACATAAGTTTCAGATATAGTATCTTTATTACAGCATTGAAAGAATGTTAATTCCATTGCAATTAATTAATTTTTTTAACAGAGATAAAAAAGTCAGTGACACGAGGGGGATTCGAACCCAAGATCTTCGGCTAGATACGCCGCTGCTCTACCACTTGAGCTATCGTGACCTCGATCTACTCGGACACTAACGTCCCATCTCAACCCCACTTTTTTTTTAATTTTCTCTCCAAATACTAGTAAATTTAATAAGTTTAAATGAAATATACCTTCACTTAAGCTCTCCGTGGCCATTCCATTTGTCGCCGAGAATCAAATAGATTACACGACATTTGAAAAATGGCAAAAAGGAGGGAAAATTCAAAAGGTGGGGTTGAGATGAGAAGTTAATGCCCGAGTGGATCGAAGTCACGATAGCTCAAGTGGTAGAGTAGCGGCGTATCAAGCCGAAGGTCGTGGGTTCGAATCCCGCTCGTGAAATTGACTTTTTTATATCAGCTAAAAACCTTAATTAATTGAAAGATATTAATTGATCAAGGGAACCACGAAAACTAGTGAAGTTAATTTCATTTTTTCCGGAATTTTATGGTTTTAATAAACCTCAGAAAAGGTTAATTTTTATTTTATTATTTTTTTTAGATTGGTTTTTCAGGCTTCAAGAAAGGGCGAAAATGGGAGTGTCGGTGAGATGGAAAAGCGTGTTAATAACAGTGGATAGTTTAAGAGATGGTCTATTTATTAGAGCTATTAAAATTATGTTAATTTTATTTATTTTTTAGTGTATTTTATGTCTCTAATCAACCTCAGAAAGGGTTAATTTCTGAACTTTTAAAGCAAGATTGTTTTTAGGCTTAAGAATGGGAGAAAATGGACTTTACATGACAGATGGAAATGTCTGTGAAATGGAAAAATGGAGGAAAAAATTAGAGTTGTTATTACATTTTTTTTAACTAGGAAGCTATATTTTATATACCTATATTTTTTACTAGATTTTATATTTTAATCAACCTCAGAAAGGGTTAATCTCTGAATTTTTTTTAAAATTTGGTTTTTCAAGCTTAAGAATGGGCAAAAGTGGCGTATATTTTATGTCATATATGACAGATGAAAATGTCTGAGAGATGAAAAGAGGAAGGAAAAAAGGATGGTTATGTTTATTACAGCTGTTGATAATTTGTTAATTTTATTTTTTTGTACTATATTTTATATCATTAATCAATCCATAAAGGGTTAATGTTTAATTTTTGTTAAAAGATTGTTTTAAGGCTTCAACAATGGGCAAAAGTGGATTTTATATGGCAAATGGGAGTGTCTGTGAGATGGAAAGAGAAAGGTAAAAAGTGAGAGCTTTTAAGTTATTAAGTACCTATGTTTCAGAGACGTTATGTTTATTAAGGCTGTTGATAGGCTGTTTATTTTATTTTAATTTTTTGACTATATTTTATATCATTAATATAATACCCCATAAAGGGTTAATGTTTGATTTTTATTAAAAGATTGTTAAAAGAATAGACAGAAATGGACTTTATATGATGCCTGAGATGGAAAAAGGGAGGAAAAAGTAAGAGGTGATAATGAAAGCACATAAGTTTCAGATATGGTATCTTTATTACAGCATTGAAAGAACGTTAATTTCATTTTTTTTCTGGAATTTTTTGGTTTTAATAAACCTCAGAAAAGGTTAATTTTTAATTTTTTTTAAAGATTGGTTTTGCAGGCTTCAAGAATTGGTAAAAATGGATTTTATATGATGGGTGTGTCGGTGAGATGGAAAAAGTGAGAGGTGTTAATGAAAGCCAATAAGTTTCAGAGATGGTTACGTTTATTATCAGTGTTAATTTATCTTGTTATTTTTAAACTATATGTTATGCTTTTAATCAACCTCAGAAACGGTATTTTTATTACAGCTATTAAAGAATGCTGATTTCATTTTTTTACCGTATTTTATGTTTTTAATGAACCTCAGAAAAGATACATTTTGATGTTCTTTAAAGATTCATTTTTCAGGATGCAAAAATGGACTTTATATGACAGATGAGAATGTCATGGAAAAAGGAAAGGAAAAAGTGAGAAGTGTTAATAAAAGCACAAATTTCAGTGATGGTATTTCATTACAGGTATTGAAAAGATGTTAATTTCATTTTTTTATCAACTTGATAAAAGATACATTTTTAATTTTTTTTTAAGTTTTGTTTTTCAGGATCCCAAAATGTGCGAAAATGGATTTTATATGACAGATGGGAATTATCGGTGAGACGGAAACAGAAAGGAAAAAAGTGACAGTTGTTAATAAAAGCACAAATTTCAGAGATGGTATGTTTATTACAGGTATTGAAAGGATGTTGATTTCATTTTTTTCTGTATTTTTTTTTTATCGATCTCGCAAAAGATACATTTCTAATTTTTTTAGATTCGTTTTTCAGGACGCAAAAATGTGCGAAAATTGACTTTATATGACAGATGGGAATGTCATGGAAAAAGGAAAGGAAAAAGTGAGAAGTGTTAATAAAAACACAAATTTCAGTGATTGTATTTTATTACAGGTATTGAAAGGAGGTTAATTTCATTTTTTTCTGTATTATTTTTTTTATCAACGAGAAAAGATACATTTTTAATATTTTTTTTAAAGATTCGTATTTCAGGACGCAAAAATGTGTGAAAATTGACATTATGTGACAGATGGGAATGTCATGGAAAAAGGAAAGGAAAAAGTGAGAAGTGTTAATAAAAACACAAATTTCAGTGATGGTATTTTATTACAGGTATTGAAAGGGGGTTAATTTTATTTTTTTCTGTATTTTTTTTTTTAAAGATTCGTTTTTCAGGATCAAAAATGTGCGAAAATGGACTTTATATGACAGATGGGAATTATCGGTGAGACGGAAACAGAAAGGAAAAAAGTGAGAGGTGTTAATAAAAGCACAAATTTCAGTGATAGTATTTTAATATAGGTATTGAAAAGATATTAATTTCATTTTTTCTGTATTCTTTTTTTATCAACTTCAGAAAAGATACATTTTTAATTTTTTAAAGATTCGTTTTTCAGGATGCAAAAATGTGAGAAAATTAACTTTATATGACAAATGGGAATATCGGTGAGACGGAAACAGAAAGGTGTTAATAAAAATTTTTTGGAACTAGGTATCTATATTTTATGTGTTTAATCAACCTCAGAAAGGGTTAAATTCTGAATTTTTTAAAAAGACTTTATACGACACATGGGAGTGTATGTGAGATGGAACGAGGGAAGAAAAAGTGAGAGACTGCCTGATGAGAAAACTTAAGTTTTTTTCCAAACACTTTCAGAAGTTTTTGCAACCCTTTTGCTCTGTTAACGAGGATTTAAGACAAAATATTCAAAATTTACTTGATAAATTCAGTTATTATTCAAAACAAAAAACGTAGAAATTTTAAACTTGCGTTATGAAGTAAGTCAAATTTTCTTATCTGGGTCGTAAGTTGATAGGAGACACGGAAAAATCACCTTATGCGGTATCGTAAATAAAATATATGAAAACAGGCCGGCTAATTTCGAATCGGCATGTCTTTTCTATTGACAGGAGAGAGGGTGGGATTTCGGTGGATAATCGTCCGAGGAGGACCTAGATGAGACTGATCAATGGCAGGGCAGAATGTAAACAGATGGGACGGGCCGGGATGAGGCCTAGGGCCAATCCTGGAAAAGTAGGCGGACCGTTCTATGGACTACTTTCTGGAGAACGGGCCTGCGCTTTCGGGGGTGGCTCTGGAAAGGGGTGGAAGGGGGTTGTCAACCCCTCTCCAGTGGCGTGTCGTTAAGCGCGATGAGTTCGTATACGCCAGTGTCCCACTGAAGCCGGTCTGAGTGTGCAATGTTAGAGTTCATTCCTTGCAGTATGGTGCAAAGTATGGAGAATATTCGCCCTTGCAACGCCGGTTCAGGTAATTATTTCTGTTTTGTAACTTGTTCAATTTTATTACATTACAATTTTTAAGTTTTATTTACATCCCGTCCGTCATCAAATTTACGACAAAACAGTATGCATCCACCCGGTGGAGGTTATACTGCGGCTTCTTCCAAATCAAAATAAATTTTTGCATTTCTCAGAACCACCCCTCATAACTAGTTTTCCTGTAAATTCTACCATTAAAAATAACAACATATCAAAAAATATCTTCTGCTTTTAATGTCCATGCTATATCCAAAAATGAAATGTTTATTACCATAAATCAAATAAAAAATTTTGTTTAGTCATAAAACATTAAAAGTGATTCTCTAGTTTACTAATCTAACATTAATTATTGACCATCCATCCTTTTGGTAGAATACTATAGCCATTATTTCTCTACTAATTATTATTTTTTATTATAACATTAATAATTATTTAAACGAGACTAATGAAAAAATTTTGTAAGATCGATGTTGTTTCATAATCGAGAATCGTGTCTTGACTGTGACGCGATTCGGCTTCTTTGACTTACCCGCCTTATGGTCCTGTACAATTTCTATCCCACCATTCAATTTGTTGAAAGCCCAATGCTTTAAAGTTGGTAGTGATTGTCTTTGATTCTGTGATCTCATGATGAACTGACAACAGTCACTCACTGAAGATGTCGTAAAACCGATAGTTCAGTTCATCTCTCTTTCTTTCTCTCGCTTATCACCATAAAGACGCCAAGAAGAAATCAGGACGATGTCTGAAACTTTTCGTCTGCTTTCCGTTTTTCTTCTTCTGTGGTCAGGCCTCAACCTACTTATAACCCGAAAAAGTCTCACATATATGCTTCCATACAGTCCAAATGCATGTCGGGTTCGTGAATAACAGTTCAGCTTTTTTGACTTACCCGCCTTATAGTCCTGTCCAATCTCTAACCTACCTCTCAATTCGTTGAAAGCCGAATGTGTTCAAGTTGGCACTGATTGTCTTTGATTCGGCGATCTTACGATTTACTGACGACGGTTCCTCATTGAAGATGACGTGAAACCGATAGTTCAGTTCTTCTTCTTCTCTCTCTCTCTCTCTCTCTCTCTCTCTCTCTCTCTCTCTCTTTTCTTTCTCATTAATGAAAAATATATAAAATTGTATTTATTTATGATTTTTTATTGTCTGGAATACTTCCCTGATGAATTTCATTCTTTTATTTCATTATTTTTATAAATTGTGGGATATCCCCCGACAGTTCAACAAAGTTGACCAAAATTTTTGGAAAATACCATCACTAAACAGACCTCCAAGAAGCAATCAAGACAATGCCCTGAAAGTTTAGGTCTGCATTTTTGTTTTTCGCAAACTTCGGTGGTGGGTCTTGCCCTGCCCGAACTTATAACCCGAAATTGAAAAATTCCAAGGATAAAATCGGGGTACGAACCAACGAATTTATGTTTTTGACATTTTCAAATCATATTTAACCGCATATCCTTGCGTTTAAGTCTATCAGAATCGTTTCGGATTTTATCCCCTGGTAGGTTTTTGTCCTGCCTCGACCTGCTTATAACCCTCAACAAGCTGTTTAAATCTTAAATGTATTGGTTTATCCGAGAAATACTTTCTGTTGACGATGTTTAACATATTGTCGTTTCAAATAATTTGGTCCGCCTATACTCGCTGTTTTCGAGTATCATGCATATTTCGGCTTCCCTGACTAGCCCACCACTCAAGTTGTTGAAAGCGATTGTTGCTGGTGATTGTTGATCATTGATTCGTGCGAACTGACGACACAATTCCTCAATGCAGATGGCGTGAAGCCTTCAAGTTCAGTACCCTCCATGAGTATAGTAAATCTTGTTGAAACGAATCAATTGATTACTTTTTAATTTTATACATTAATAAACCCCTAAAAATCATTTTAAATTAAAAACTAGATTAATGAAAAATACATAGAATGGTTGTTATTTATGATTTTTTCCAATCTGGAATAATCGTATCATATTTTATCTGTTGACTTTTCAGGCAAAAAAATAAGCGGAATATACCACTTCTTTTGACCTCGTCTTTATTTAAAATTGATATTATTTCTTCCACAATTATAATAAAAACATTATTTTTTGCAAGGGACCGAGCATAATGTTTGTAAATTGTGAGGTTTTCCCATGATATAAGGAGTCTTTTAATCTGCCTATTCTAATTAAAATGTCGGCCTTTCTTTTCGTCTCCTCGTCATCATCAGTGGTCAATGTGTTCATTCTTCTTTAATTAAAGGAATTTTTGTCAGGAGAAGCTAACGTCCAACTATCTATTGTTTCACAGGCAAAGGGTCAAACCACTTTACAATTTTTTTAATACTATTCTCAATCAAAATTTAATGGGTTGTACCAGGATTTGAACTCAGGACCGCTAGCTTGGCAAATACGTGTCGAACTCCCTAAACATTCGGCTATCGCAGTCCTCCCAGCTTTGGGTTAGTTTTTTATTTTTTCTGTTAAGAGTTTTCTAACTGTTTTTGTTGTCTTTAGTCTGTTTTATGCAATAGATTGGTTTAGTTTGTACGCCTATGTATCTTTGTAAATGAATTTTTTGGACGAACAGTAGCATTCAACATATTGTAGCTTATATTGAAAATGTATCTTTTCATCCTTTATTTATAACGAAAACAGTAATTTTGGCCAGGGTCCGAATGATCTATTTAATGATTTTTTCTTTAAATCTGCGGAGTGATGAGCCTGAAATGCGATCGTTTCCGATTATTCTTGTCTGCCTATCTGTGCTGATTTGGTCTATCAGACGCGTTTTGATTTTCGACTTATATTGTACCGGGTTGTGTCTTGTTTCAACCTTTTTATAAATTTTTATTTAGAAATCGTGAGATGCGGTCTGGTGTGATGTAGGTTTCAGAAAAACATTTTCTTTATCGTGCAAACGTTTTGATCAAAAGTGAATTTATACAACTTTTCCACATCCAAAATGTAATTGTAATATGTAAACAATGTTTGTAAATCCCAGGCCCTGAAGATGATCTCAATAAAGATCGAAACGTTGGCACGATAAAGAAAATGTTTTTCTGAAACCTACATCACACCAGACCGCATCTCACGATTTGTAAATAAATATCGATTAACGGTCACTAATCACCACACACTTCTTACTAATAAAATAATGAAATTTTGCGTTTTCACTGTTTTGAACTGTTCGATGCGTTACTCCTTCCGTTCTGTTTTGGTGGTGTTTTGAAAGTCGATCATTGCTAGATTTAATTATTTTTGAAATATACTGATGATTTTGATTACTGGTTCTTTGTTGAGCTTGTTTTTCTTGCAGTATAGTGAACGATTACGTAAACCAGCGAGAGATGACGGACCCAGTAAATTTTCGATCTGTTCACGTACGGTCCGACAAGTAGTTGCTAGAAAAAAAATTAATGACATTTTATTCCAGACTTGCCAATTTTACTTTTTACGGCCGTAACATGAAAAACTTAGTTAGGGCTGGGTTTATTGAAGGGCGACAAATTAATGTTTTTATCTTAATAGTTAACATAAGTTTAGAACGTTTTTTTATAATTTTTTAAAGAATGAAGTATTTTAGAAAAACACCTTTTTAATTTTTTCCGAGGTTTTGACCTTTATTCGGGTCATAATTACAAAACATATTTTGTTTGAAAAAAATATATAAAGAAAAAACGTATGTTTCGAAATTCCCCCAGGCCTTGAGGATGACCCGAATAAAGGTCAGCACCTCGGAAAAAAATTAAAAAGGTGTTTTTCTAAAATACTTCATTCCTGACCGCTTCTCACTACTTCAACAAATTAATAAACTACCGGTAATTAACTAACACAAATTTTTAGAAGGATGTTCAGACGTCGCTTTTGAAATATTTCTTAAATAATTTTAGATTTTCTTTTCTATTCTTTCCGATTTCTTAAATAATTTATTTAGAAATCGTGAGATGCGGTCTGGTGTGATGTAGGTTTCAGAAAAACATTTTCTTTATCGTGCCCACGTTTCGATCTTTATTGAGATCATCTTCAGGGCCTGGGATTTACAAATATAGTTTAAATTTAACAAATACATGTAGGTTGTGGAAAAAAGTGAATTTATACAATGCAAAATATATTTTTTTTATATTCAATCAAAGTATTTCTACTCACTCAAAGTGTTTGTCTTCTGTGTAATTGTGCCATAATTGTAAATCCCGGGCCCTGAAGAAGGTCTCAATAAAGATCGAAACGTTGGCACGATAAAGAAAATGTTTTTCTGAAACCTACATCACACCAGACCGCATCTCACGATTTCTGAATAATTATTTCAAATATTTAAGGCTAAAGTTTTCTTTCTTAAAATGGAATTTTGAAATTAACGGTCACTATTCACCACACATTTCTTAAATAATTTTCTATTCGAAATTTTAGAATTTTTTTTTATTTCCCCGTGGGGTTTTAAGGAATGATAATTTTGTATTTTAGTCGTTTCAAATCATTTTGATATGCCTAGATTATGATAGTTTCTTTTTTTTTCTTATTATTGTCAATTAAAATTCCATGGGATATGCATGGACCCAGAACCCGCTGATGATCCCCCCGAGTCAAAAGAGCGACGAACCTGTACTTCAATAATTTGTGATAATTAGGCCATCTCATTCTCGATGTTTTGTAATATCAGGCTCATATCGGATTTTTTGCTTAAGCTTGTTTATACTCCAACTTTTAACCACCACTTCAGGTGTAACGCATCAAACAGATCAAAAGAGTGAGGAAGTTCATCCCCATGACAACTTTAAAGTAATTCTAAAATAAATTTTATATTTTTTATTTCCATGAATTCTAGTTGTGTCTTTTAATTGTTTTGCTTTATATTTGTATTTTCTTATATTTATATTTCAATTTCGGAAAATGACTATATGAATAACGTACTTTTTACATTCAATTAATTAAGGTTTTAAGTTGAGATAAAAAAAGTCAATGTCACGAGCGGGATTCGAACCCACGACCTTCGGCTTGATACGCC